TGTAAAAAAGTTTTTTTACTGTATATTTACTGTATACTTATATATTTTGTTATTTTTTGTGATAATTTGTATATTTTAGACTTAAGAACTTTTATGTACATATTTCATAGATTTAACGAAACAATTTTTTTTTTTAAAATTTAAGTATCCTTATAGTCCATTAAAAAAAGATAATAAAAATTTCACAACCAAAATTCTATATTATATATCATTTGAAAAAATTAATTCATCAATGGCTATTTTGCTCTCAAAGTATTTCACAATGATATTATATTTTCTAATGTACTAAAAAGTCGTAATGATCGCCGACCGGCCCAAATTAATTTTTATCCAAATTTACCTAGACATTAATATTGTACCATAACATAAAGTAGTCGTTATCAATATTTATAGTATACATTTTATACACAATATTATTTTTTTTAATCATAATAAATAACCTATATAATTGTTTAAATATTAATTAATTCGACTTTTTTGTAGGAACTTAAGAAGATTAAGGTTTGATTAAGCTTGTATAACAGGAAGACAGCAATACACAACTGTACAGTGATTATTTTTTTTTAATTTGATTTAAATTTTCTCCCCGTACACTTATTTTATGTAAATTGTATTTTATTTAATAAATTGCATGTTTTCAAAATTTTTAGTGTATATTATACTGCATACTATGATGTTTTTAATGCATATTTATGTGCATATTTGAGTATTTTTCAGCTCGTAAAATTTTGAGCCTTGTTAATTAACTTTGAATTATAACTAGAACAAGAAGTATAAGATCCTGAAAAATATTTTACATTCACTTAAAAATACGTTAATTATCAAGTATGTATTTCAAAAACAACTATTGTCAAATGTAGAGAAAAAAATTACTGAAATTGACTCAATCTATATTATACTTATATATTAATCTGGACTGTTAAAAACAATTTCATATATGACATTAATTTAATTAAATGACCAAATGAGTAAAAATAAAATCTGCACTTTAGATATTAAATAAAAATGCTTTAAAAACAAATATTCCCTTAATGATATTATTCACTATTGATAATACAATAATACGCAATCATAATATGATTATAATAATAAACGATAAGAAGGTTAAAGGTTAAGTTACTTTTAACACAAAAATATCTTATTTTTTTTACAATTGCCAACTTTACTAAATTATTGAAAGCATTCTGATTTAATCTTTAAGTATTATCATAAAAAAGGTTTTCTTGATTTAACTAATTTATTTTTTATTTTTTTATTTTAAAAATTACAATCTGTAGCCAAATTTTTACAATAATCAAATTAAACATTTACATAGGATTGTAATTACATGAATAGTGTGTTGAGGAAGATTGGTAACAATTTAACTCTTTTAACCTCTTTTAACTAAATTATATATAATAGAAAAACTTTTGAAACTCTTGAATTTCACTTTCCAATAAATTAATTTAAACAGATCACGAACAGTACAATTATTATTTTAATTAAATCGCTATGTTTTCTATCTCTCGCTCGTACATACGATTTGAAAAATAAATGAATTATTTTATCTTGCCATGGTGTATATTTACGTGAGTAAAAATTTTCTGAAATGTTTGTGTGCCTAAACCTTTACTATAATGCAAAAACCCTATTTTAATTCACACAACGCGTGGGTCAATTTATAATGGTTCTTTCTTACAATCGTACGACATCATAAAACATGTAACGTGCATCGTTTTCCTCGTTCGTCAATGTATACGCATTTTATTCGCTGATATCGTGTTTAAGATTGTTCATTAAATTTTGTGTGGTATTCAGTTTTCACTTTGTAACACTTATCTATTTACCGAGCATCGGATTATATTGTAATCAGGGGCAATTCAAATGAGGAAGAGAGATAAAAAAAAACCGCATAATGCAATAGGACAGGTATTACATAAGAAATAAGGTTAAGAATTCATGAATACGTTCGAAAATGTTGGAATCCAAAGTTTAAATCATAGCACACAAGGCCCATATTAAGGCGAAATTATCGTAGAACACGAAAACAACGTTATTACCTGCGTTTACCATTAATTTTACTTGCGTAAAAATGTTGATTTTGAGTAGTAGCAAACGGTTCACATATTAAATTGAACACCTTACATGAATACAACGACATCATAAATGTATAATTCTGTTATTCATTTATTATTATTATTATTATACTTATACAGTACCCGACGTATATTATTTCATTTTATCGGTCAACTCGTGATTGTAACATTACAACATATTTTATAAAGTGTTCCTATTGTAAAACAGGGTCAACAATTATTACCAATCATGGCCCAAAATAGTTTTAAAATGCAAACTGAATGCAACTTCGCGTATCGACGACGAAGCAGCTATTTTTAAGTAAGTTGCTAGATTTATCGCTTTTATCTATAAATTGTATGGAAACGAAAAACAACTATTTCGTTCTGCGTTTTCGTAGATATATAATTAAAGACGTCAGGAGATTATCAACCGTCAAACGATGATGTGTAGAAAATGAGAGTAGTTTAAAAAATAAATCGGTGATTCGCATTATAATAGGCACAGAACATTCGAGACAATCGTAAACGGAAGAAAGTTCATTATAAATGATTGCTTTCGCCATCAATGTCAAATCGATCGCTAGTCTTACGCGTAGCGAATGATATTCAATAATATTCACTGCCGCGTGCGCTAATGCAGTTGTCAGCGCATGATGGTCATTATAATAACAGGCACGAATACGGTACTGACCGGGAACGGTGACAAATTATAATAATGATCTCAACGGGAACCGCGCCGTTCGTTTTTCTCGCACTATTCGTCTATAGGCAGAAAAAAAAAAGCATCGGTATTGCCTATTACTATCCACTGCTCTTACGGCGGTTTCGCCATGCATTAGGTAACACGAAAATGGAGTAAAACCCGTCATCAGTAATACCACAATGCCTAGTAAATAAGCGATAGGAAATAATATTAAATCGAACTGCGGTGGCGAAGAGTGATCGTCGATGACATATAAAAACGCCTCGAGGCAAATCTAGACGATTACCTATCTACACTAGACGTCGCGTGCAGCGCATAATACAACATGGAATCGTGGACGCGTCTACCCAGAGCGTAATGTATTCAAAAACGTCCGTCGCGCGTATTAAATTTTATGATAAATCGTTCTTTTTATGTCCAAACGACGATCGAAGATGAACGTTGAGTTTTAAACATTAAATTATGTATAATTTATTCAGTCCTTGGTCATTTTGGTTGCGAAAATAATGTGATCGGAGCGTTATGAAGTGTTATCCTCCTATTGTACAACCAGAACACTAAATCATTATCTTCCGAAAATATGATTTTAAATTCGATTCGTTTTGCAAACCAATACGCTCATCCGAACGGACGTTTATTATGACGTAACGAAAGAATATTTTCGATTCGAAAGATAAAACAAAAAAGTAAAAATAAAATTACATTAATTAATAGCGTTACAACGTTTTTACAGGGCTCGGGAAATGTGTAGATAGCTGTTATATTATAGTTTACGAGATAATTATTTTCTTAACATAATTGAATCGAATCGATTGTTTCAATTTTACTCATTACAAATGTGGTACGGTACACAATTTTTTTTTATTCCTAAAAAGCTGAATACTATATATTATGATTTATGGTGGAAATACATGATATAATATTACAGCGATGGAATTCGTGGTATTTTATTCAATAATTAATGTAATATAACCAGAAGATATTATGAAAATCGGAATTAATGAACGGTAACTAATTATAGAACAAATAAAAAAATTTTAAAACGTATGATGATGATTTAGTGCTTTAATTGTAATATTATTTATCATAAGATCTGGTGATACAATTTTATATTTTCGTTTGTGATATTTTTTCATTTTTTAAGCCCATAATAGGTTTCATATAGAAAATATTTTCTTATCTGCATCGATACTTACAATTTCTACAAGTAATAAATTAAAAAATTGCGAACCATCAAGGTTTTATTATAACTGTTGTTATTTTCATACTATATTTAAATATTTAAATATTTTCAAGGATAAATAATGTTTAATAAAATTATAATACATTAATATGATAAAATAATTAATAATATATTAATATATGATTTTTAATAATTTATAAATGTTTAAACCATTGGCACATTACAATTATTTAAACGATATTTCCATTTAGAATAATACATTTTAATTTCTTTAACCATTATTATTGTAGTTTATATCAAATACTGATTAATTCAAAAAATTGTCTATAAAATATTAAGAATGTTTTCAATCATATTTTGTATTAATAATTATTATTAAATAATTGAATTATATATAATTTATTTTGCACTACTTTGAATTGCAAGTTTCCTCATTACCTACCAAATATATATAACAAATAGTATATATCTTATTATGTTACTATTTTGATTGGCCACCATCAGTTAATTTTTAATTTTGATTATTGCATGACCATAAACTAAAATAAGATGGTAGATTTTTACCAACGTTTAAAAACATGTTAAACCGACTTCTAGTAAGCCACACAAATAATATATTACCTATAAACGTGTATATCACATCTTATGACCCACTAACCTTGATCAAAAATTATTTATTTATTATTCTCTGATTTTTAAATGAACAATAAGTATTAATTTTTTTTTTTTTTTGAGATCAAAAATGTATTTATTTCATCAATATTATAAAATACAACAATATACGTTTTACACTAGAACATTTTTAAGAATTAAATTTTCACAATTTTAATACATAAACATAAATTCTACAGCATTAAATGTTTACACAAATGATTTAAAAATATAGTTCATTTTTTTTACTTATCTAAATATCGGTTATAGTACAATTAAAATAATAATCTAAAAGTACATTCACAAATAGTCGTTCTTTAAATATATTGAATATATAAATCAATTATAAATGATAAAAGTAAACAAATAATAAAAAGTTGTATAAATAAAAATAAATTATCTTTGGTTTATATTTAATAACATGAATGTGTAAATTCTTCTAAATAATATCTCTCGCCATAAATCAAATTACTATGAATAATTTTCAAATGTAATTTTTACCATATATTTCGATTCTAAACAATACGCTTTAGCTACCAATAGAACTAACTCATAAGTAGAAATATCGCTCGTGTTCATGCTCATATTGAAAGCATTCACAACTATTCGGGGGTATAACTGTGAGCGGATCGTGATTTACACATTCCTATCGTAAAATATACAATTTATTTATCCTAATAATATTATTATATTCATGTAGCTCCTATGCACATATAATATACACATAATACGCGCGTACATGTAGTAAACAATTTATTAAGTCTTACATAATATCTAACAGCTACCTAATTTTTTTTTTTTTTCATTTTTCATCAAATTTTAATTATTTTATCTAAAAATTTTGTTAAGACTAGAAAAATGCCACGCAAATCGCACCGCGGGACAATTGAAATAGTATTGGTGTCTAATGTATTTTCACTAAATCAAGATTACATCGAACGATAAAACAATAACTACCAACGCAATACTACGTGTTGCATTCCGAAATTATCTTTTGGTAACATTTATCCAGACGTTTCGTCAACCGAACCGATCGCCGAACATGAGCGATTGACGACGAGCTGTTCGTATCAGTACGCGTCGCAGTCCGTAACATGTAATTGAAAAACCAGACGCTCCTGTAACACGATCGGAGTTGGCCTAAAGTTACGACGGGGGACTGCTAAAGGATCCCAACGAACACCCACCCATTCACACACACGGGGGGGGGGAATCTCGCACACGTCGACGAACGCGACTGCACATACACACACACACACACACACACATACACACACACATGGACGCATACACACGCCAATGTTCGATGCTCGTCACGGGACGCGTAACGTATCATTTGCTGTGACACGACAGTGCAACCAAAACATACTACTACTAGACCGGCGCGCGGCGGTCCCGGTTGTTGGCCGGCCGACGGGCGATCACTTTTTCCTGGGCCGGAGCCGGAACGGGAAAGTGACGTACGGCAGCGCCAGGTTGCCCTTGGGCACGGCGTATGACACGTCCTCGACCGGCATCAACGTGTACTTGTTCAGCAACGTGCCGATGGTGCAGAACGATATGAGCTGCACCAACTTGTAGCCCATGCACGACCGTTTGCCGCCGCTGAACGGTATGAAATAGTCGGGCTTGTACAGCCTGCCCTCCGCGTTTATGAACCTCTCTGGGCTGAAGTGCTCGGGGTTTTCCCACAGTTCCGGACTCATGTGCAGACTGTAATTGTTCAGGAACACCGTCGTGCCTTTCGGGATTCGCACGCCTGCAACCCGAATACAAGGATAGTTATGAGTATATATGTTGATTAATGTTATTATTGCGGTTTTCAATCGCTCGGGACTTACCGTTCACTGACGTGTCTTGGTTGGCCAAATGCGGTACGATCGGCGAAGCGATCAGCCGAAGGGACTCGAAGACCACGGCCTCGGTGTACGGCATTAGGGGGCGGTCGGCGAGCCCGACGCATGTCCCGGAAGCTCGGACTACGGCGTCCGCTTCCTCTTGTATGCACCGCTGTATGTCTGGTCGATCCACCAGGAACCCCAGGGTCTTGACGATGAAGTTCGTGATCGCCGAATGACCGCCAATGATATCCTCCAACGAGAACAGCCCGATGTCTAGATCGAATCCGTCGTCCCGGTCGGGCTGCATAACCGCTTCCAACAAGTTGTCCACGAAATCCACGGGCTTGGTGCCCGGCACCCAGGCCACTTTCCTCTTGTTAAATATCTCGGTCTCCATGAAGTTGCGGATCTTCGAGCTCCACGTTCTTATCTTTTTAAAATGCCAACTGTAAAACGGCGTCAGGCTGGGCAGGAAATCGCCAGCTGAACCTTGGTTCACCTCGTAGAACACTTCGTCAAAGTTCCGGACGAACTCTCGAAATCGGTCGTATGTGTTGGAGAATCTTGTGGAGCAGAAGTACGACAGGAACGTGTTGGCACACGAATGCAGCAACAGGTTCTTCAGGTCCACGCACCCGGTATCGGCCAGTGCACCGATGGTGTCCATCAACTCGGCCAGTTCGGTTTTCAAGCACTTGTCCAGGCGAACATACATGTTGGACGTCGCGTTCGGGAATGTATGGGCTCTGAGCAGCTCTCGTCGGGTCTTTTGCAGCTGAGACCAGTCACAGAACGCCAAGGCTATGGAAAATAACGACGGGAATGATAACACATAGACTATTTGCTTTCCCGTTTGAATGTAATATTGTAATGATAAATTTATGTGATATATTTCTTAGAAATATAATTAACAACGTGGTTTCAAAAAAACGAATGTTAAAAAATTTTTATTACATTATATAGAAGTACTTACAGTTCTTTTTGTCGCCTTTGAACAGTTGTTCGAATCGACGGAACGTCGGGCGGCTATCGAAGTGATCGCCTTTTATCATCAACACTTCCCGGATGTTTTGCAATCCGTTGATGACCACGCACGGTACCGATCCCAGGTCCAAACGAAAAACCGATCCTAGATCGGCCATGATCTCGTCGAACACTCGGTACGGTACCTTGTACCGGGCCATCAAATACAAGTGCCCAAGTATTGGCCAAGATTTGGGCGCAGGTGCATCGATAAGTCGATCGACGTTGTTCTCCACTTGTTTCGTTTTCAATTCGTCTCGGATCAGGAACAACAGTACCGCGGTTAACACTAAGAGTAATAAATATGTTAAAGAACTGAACACGAACTCCATTATTTGATTTTTTTTTTTCGTATTTCGTAATTAATATAATTTTGAATTTCGTTTCGTTTTTTAATTAAAATTTTTTTTTTTAATCGTCGGTTATCGCACAGCTCAAATGTACGTGTGTGTATGCGTGGCGTGTGTGTGTACGCGTGTGTTGTTATCTGTGCGGCGGATGTTGGATGTGCGTGTTGAGCTCTTGCGCTCGACAATCAGAGTGACACGTTCGGATTTTCCTTTTATAAGCCACCACTCGGCCAGCATCAGCTGACCGAGCGCATTGGATATGGACGGATTACATTGATTTCCATTGCAAATCAGAATTTTTCCCTTTCATCCTGTTGCCCTCCGGTGTCCTACAATATGTAAAATCCGACGATTCGGTTAGACATGTACACTAAACGGCCATCTTTGTTCGCGCATGACGTAATCTGTATACGGATGTTACTCGTTCGGACTTAATTTTCATTTTTCAAACTATATATATATATATAATATATACAAATAAGATGTAACACACTAGTAGTACCTATTCGATTATGTAAAACAAAACGTTTTACGTTAAATTTTTTTCGTTTGACAATTATTATACTACCATTTTGTATTACTCTATTTGATCGCTATTGTGTGATGCGATTATTGTTAACATTTACTAGGTTTACGATATGCACTTATTTTTATTTAATATATGTATAAATAAAAATTGTATATCATTATAACATCAATATGAATAGTATTATAGCCAATACAAATGTAAAACGATAAATCTATAGATTTCGATTTCTGTTACACTCAACGAAAAAATAATTCAAATGGTACAGTGTTATAACTTTTAAGTAACTAACTAAATTATCTGTTCCCGATTGAAAGATATTTCACTATTTTAAATGAGAGCAATTACTTTTTCACAGAAAAATATAATTCAAGTTGAAAAACACTACATTTTAAGTAAGAATACTGTCATATATTCTAATATTTATTATATTTATAGGTGGTATCGAGACTTCCCCGGTGAACCCCTATGCCGACGTGCCTCCTTTCCAAGCCTGGGCATTAAAGAATTAATAAGTTTTTAAGTTAAAAGTTAAGTTAATTTAACTTATTAACTTAACTCATTTCGTAACAGATTAACTTAAAATTAACTTATTATTTTTTCATTTATCCCAATTAAGTTAATTTTGATATTCAAGGCCATAAAAATGTTTTTGTAGAATACCGTATTCGATAACAACTTTATGGAATTTAGAAAAATATAAAAATAAATGTTTGGAAGAATATTTAGGTAAGAGCATAATATTTATCACGATATTAACTAATAGTAGGGGTCCACCATCAAATGATCTGAGATACAGCAGTATAATAAATGGAAATTACAAATACAAACATATTAATTTAAAAAAAAAAATAGTTTATTACTCAAAAAAAAAAAAGAAGGAAAATTAATTATTTAGTTAACGAAAAAAAAAGTCGAGGAATATTCATAAACATGAATTTTAGTGAATATTTTTTGTCCAAAATTGAAAATTTGTAAAAGTACAAATAGCCGAGTTCTTGAGGTTTTCGTATTTTTGGTAGGACGAAAATGATCTAGAAAAAAAAAAATTTTTTTCATTAGTAATAATAACAAAATATGTTGTTCCTCATTAATTTATATTACATTGTGCCTTATATATTCAATAATCTGAATTATTTATATATGATTTGTTTCTAAAAATCGGGCAACCTTATTTAAATACGTCTTGTACATGAACAAGTTCACTGTACGAGAACGCTCAATTTTTTGTTGTCTATTAAACGCTAGGAAAGAGAAAACAAAATTTGCATACGTGTTACAAATTTATAAGTATATACACTGAAAGTTCTTTAGTCACATGGCTTATCCAGTTGCACTGATTTTGTAGTTTGAACTGGTATTCCTCGTACATGAATGTCGTTCTAAAAACGATAACACAATATCAAGGTAAAATAGTCGCTATTACTTTTAAGGCAATTGAAACGAGTTAGTAAGAAAAAGTTTGAAACTTTACTATGTGGATCTGAAATGAAAGTCAAAATGAACGCGCTTTGAATACGCCAAAGGTACATTTAATAACGTGGAGATATAGAATTTCAACGTCGTTCACGGATGATAAAATACTTATAGCAGAAATGGTAATAGTATTTTAATACGTACTCTTGTAAGATAGAGGTTCAGACAGTTGAGTTTTTTGTTGATCGATACAGTTTCGTACTGTATTCGACTGAACCCCTCGTCCATTGCCATCTGCAGACACTACGGTGTATGGAAAAGTGAAACGAAAATAAAATATATTATTAAATTAAATTAATTTATTTTAATGTAAGGCAACAAGTTTCTATAATATCACTTATCACTTGCAGTAGGTATTTGAAAATTCTGTATAACTAGTATCTGTTTTTAACCAAAATTTGAGATTTACGCTGTCCCGGGGGTCGATATTAAATATGGTACACGTCTAGGGTAACCATACGTCCCGTTTAAAATAGGATTGTCCCTTTTTTTATCATTATGTCCCATTATCCCGACAAACTTTGAACGGGATGCTTTTTGTCCCGTTTTTAGAATAGGGTCCCGTTTTAATCCCGTTACTTCCATAAAAATTGTAAACCGAGAGTAAAATAAATAAATAAATAAGATATGTCATATAGTGTCATATAGATATATATGTACTACAAACTCATGTGTGAGACTTCTAAAGAAATCGATATTAAATACGAATAGTTTACCAATATACAGTAATATTTTTAATCAACGATATTCGGTAGGTATAATAGGTATATTAATCGAAAAATCGAACATAGTAACGTGTGTACATTGCAACGATCTTTTGTTACTAATGTTATAGCCACTGTGTGTCAGTTCTTTTTATTTAAATTGTTGCGAGTCGTTAGTGTTATCACTTTTATTGTTTTTTTTTCTTTAAATGCCTAAAAGAAAATATACGTTCACTATACCTTTGCAGATTAACTAATGCAGCAATAAAAAGAATATTTTCAATCGCAAATATTTTATGAACGGACGAAAAAAATCGTTTTATCGATTTTATCAATAATAGTTCTTAAAAGTAATTTTAAAAAATATTCCTGTAAGATTGAATGAAAGAAGAATGAAAACTATTAAATGCAATCAGTTCATCAAAAAATATAATTTCAAAGGATGTGATGAAGAAAATTATGAACAATTGACATCAACTCAATAAAAATAAAGAAAATATGGTCTTTTTTTAGAGAACATATTTGTTCCGTTTTTTTTTTTTCATAAATATGGTCACTCTATACACGTCACACGTTGTCATATTATTATTATGTTACGATATCGCATAACGCGTACTTGGGCTTTATTTATATTTTTTGGTACATGCAGAACCCAGTGTGGGCGCAATTGCACGTGCCATCCAAATAATAGCTGCCATGCCACCAATTTCACGTCCACAAAGGTCTCTGGCGTCAAACTTTATTTGCCTTTCATACCCGGGACCGCCCCACGGCGGTGAGGTAACAACAGCGTCAACCCTGAGGTTAGCGGCCACCAAGAAAAAATTTCCCATCCTAAAATCTATCCGGTGGGCCACTCCGTAAACCTCTGCGTTTTTCTTGGTCAAAGCTATTTTCTTTGGATCCAAGTCGATGGCGATAACTAAAAAAAAAATCGTTTTATTGCGTTGAATTATAATACTGTTACATCGTAGTATAAACAATCTTACCATGGTCACAAGTCAACGCCAGCTGTATTACATTCCCCCCGGCATCACAAAACGGGTCCAAGACCGTGCCGAATGAAGTACACCTCTTGGCAATATGTTGTGCCCGTACCTCTGGGCAAACGGAGTATATACTGGCTGCATAATCGCGTGGAAAAAGATTCACATCGTTAGAAAGTATATTAGTGTATGTTATATTATAATTTACCCTTGTCGAACATAATTCCCTCGTCAAACTTTGAAAATAGTGAGAACCGCAGTTTCCAATATTTATGGGTTCGGTTTAACGTCGGTTCCTGATAGAATAAAAATTCAATCAGCTAGATAGTAATATCTATGGACATGAGTGATCGTGCATATGTTTTCGATCCGTCCACGTAAACGGTCTCGTCACCAGACGCGACATCACTAACCGGGCTCACTTGGGTGCATCCGTCCGCGTACGATACCTCGAAATGGCCACACGCGACGTTACGAGTGCCCACTCGAGTGCGTTCGACTGAATCTCTTGTGGTGATGGTGGCAGACATTTCGTCCGTCTGTGTGCCAGTGTCGGCTGTGGCCGTGGGGCAGTGAAAACGATCGAAACGGATCTGTCCACTGTCTCACATTATCCATCGTAGTGCTCCGGCAAGGAATCTTTGATGCGTGAAACCACGGCGGGTTAAAGCGGAGAATGCGTGAGGCTCGTGTGACAAGCATAAGCAGATAGACCATTCTCGGCATATCGCGCGAATCGAGAAATTCAACCGTACTCACCATAGTCGTCCTCTGTCATCGCGGTCTAAAACTTTGACCACCCGCAGATGACATAAAACACCAGTAAGTGCCATGTTTCTTCCGTATCCGAGGTCACATCGAAACTACAACGGCAATCGGAAACGCAACGACGATTGGAACTGAAAAAACAATACGTGTCTTACATGCGGTGGGGCATTCGGTATCACGTTAGACGTGATGGCTTCGCGCGGCAGAAGAACAAAATCGTTACTATTCATTTTATTATATTATTGTGTAGTTCCGTTTACCTCATTGTGGATCCCATTTTTTTTTTTTAAAGATTTGATATAAGAATCAGGAAAATTAGTGTTCTCTTAAAGCATGAACAATGTCAAATGATCTAGAATTTGGTTGGTAATAATTTATTTACGATATATTTGCTTGGTAACGTTTAAAGCCAGTTGCATAATCAATATTGTTAGTGGCCAATGTGATAAAAAAAAACACAACTTGAAATTAAATTTAAAAACTAAATAAAAAATTTAACTTTGCTAAATACTGATATTAAGTTAAAACTCAATAATTATGATTGTATATTAATTATGAGAAAAAAATTCTCGAGAAGAGTATTTGATTATTGGTCTATGATAGGGCGTAATTTTAACATTTTTACCGGGCGTAAAAATTCCTAGTTCCACTTATGTAAATAGTTACATATTATCATTTACACACGACATAATAATTAGCGCAT